TGGACCTTGAAACTGTAATGATCCCACTGGATGTCTGTGGTCAGACCGTCATCGTAAAGCGGCCATCCAGTTTCCGTCTGGTTCTGGGCAGCGGCCAGAAGACCTGTACTGGAGAGTAAAAGAGCGCATAACTTGGTTATCCGCGTCATGGCTGCTCCTTGAACTGACCTGATGGAGGATAAGGAATGCGTGCCTGTAAGGATTACCCATTTTTGACACTCCGGGCCAGGAGGTCCAATTTATAGCCCGCCTTCAACTGAGGAAAAACGTTTAACATCTCGTCTCCCATGACTCCAGGCCCCGCCATTTAGCTAAATTAGTGGCGTAGAACCCATGAGCCCTGGTTTAATTCCGAAAGTCTCTCTTGAAAGCGTAAGCGTAACTCCGAATGACACTATCCACAACTGGCTCTGTGATGAAATCAACGACTGCCAAGCGAACTCATAATACTCGTTAATTTGAATAGTACTAGGCTACCGTTCGTTCAAGAGGACATGGAGGCCAAAGAACCAATGATTAAACGGTGCCGATAGTGCCAACTTAATGAGACCGGGACAGGGTTCGGGGTGGAGTACACCCAGGGACCAAAACCATTGTAGATTCAAGCTTGCGCTGCACAAGTCCGGCGGAGGTGTCAGCCAATGTGGGGTGGAACTAGTCTGTGGGGAAACCAGGCCGGGTTTTTCCTCCATTCAGAGGGATTGTCGGGGTGCAATTTTCCTGTGGGGGAATCGGATGGCTTGATCGATGCCTGTCTGACGCAGAGATGCTGTGCCGAGGTAAGCAACACCAGTTAGCCTGACCAGAAACCCCAAGGACAGAGCTGTCAACGTACTTCCAGGTTCAAAGGGAAAGCTAGATAGTCTTTCAATAAATGAGGTCATCCGTTGATGAAACAGGTAGTATTATAGGGAATGTGATGAATCTCGAGATGGAGATGATGACGGGGGAGTGCAGGATTCCAGCCCACAGTAAGAGAGCCCAGCGCGCACATGACCGCGACGCCACCACCAGATGAGCTGCATTGTTACGAGATCATAATTTGAGATCTAAATAAGATAATATGATTGCCCAATTCCAAACGATTTCTTTGACTAAATTACAAAAACTTTTCCAATTCCATCCTGACACCTAAACCAACAGCCTCCATGTCCAACGGTGGATGAGGTTCCAAAAAGAAGTATGTACACACACAGTAGTAGGGATCTATCACAAGATAAACGGGGAATGATTATGAACAGCAGGGGTGAAACAGGGAAGACAATAATCCAAGAGAAGCTGTCCAAGAGAACCAAAGTACATTAAGAAACCGTATGTAACCGGGCCCGTGGATAGGCTGCTAGCCTGACGGCGACCACTCCAGATACCGTGGGCCATCAGACCGGAACCAACCCGGGCCCGGCGGGGGGAAACCGCGGGTCCTGCCTCTGCAGGATGGTCGATGAATCCCGAGGGAAACCGACCGACGTATCGTACATCCCCGAACCGCCATGATGGAAGGCCGATTTCGCGATTCGGGCCGAGGCGACAGGCTATGTCGCCTTGAGTTGATCTTCGTAAATATAGTTTTATCCTTCTGTACTGATTCCGGGTTCCAGACAAGTCACCCATAACCAGCGCCGCCGGAAATTTAGGCCGAGCGATCCAAAACCTCGTAAGGGTTGGAAGCTTTGGTGTCCACGACAATGGTCGAGCTCTGAAGCTCTTCCTTGGTCGCCTTCTTGGCACCCTTCTTGCTGCTGACGGTCGAGAAACCCGAGTCGGAGTCAGCATCACTGCCCGCGACACGCGTCTTCTGCTTGGCAGCAGTTGCACGGGTGCGAATGGGAGAGTTCTCGGCAGGCTTCTGCTGGTTCTTCTGTGCCCGGAGGGCCTGGATCTTGTTCACAGCCTCGTCTTCGGTAGCTTCACTAGTCTCTCCGTTGACCTCGACGGCCTTGCGGATCTCGCGGCTCACGCCTCTCAGAGCATCCATTCCGGCTTTCTCAGCAGCGTGCAACTGAGTCGGCTGACGGGGACCAGGCTCCTTGCGGTAGAGGTACGAGCGGACGAAGAACCGGGCAAAGAGGTAAGTCAAAGGCAGAAGGTACATCACGTTGAGCCAGATGGCGAAACCCTGGCCGCTGGTGTCCATACAGGTCACCATCGGTCCGACGTGAAGGACGCGCGCACCAGCAGCAGCTTCCGGGACACCCACGTTCTCGGCAATGCCTTCCGCGCCCGCAGCGCGGAACCCGAGCTTCTTGAGCCATGGCACAAGTCCAGCACCGGCAGTACCAGCCGGCACAGTCGGGGTGTCAACAGGAGAGGCTGGAGCGGTCTGGCCCACAGGAAGAGTGTAGCTGAAGAACAGGTAGGAAGCAGCCATGGTGGAGCCAATGATAAACTGAGTGATTTGCATGGTGGTCAAGGATCTCTTGATCACGGTGGGGACGCGAATGCGCAGGGCAGTCACAGTGTAGTAGGTGTACTGCATTAGACGGTTAGAAAATATGAGCAACAAATCGAAAACAACCCGAGAGGGACGTCACATACCATCAAAGCATGAATTCCAGAGTTGACCAAGGTGAAGATCCAGATAGGAGCTGCGACGTAACGGATACCGGCCCACATGCACATCATGGCACCGGCGTGATGGTAAGTCTGCAGGGTCGAGCTCTTCTTACCCTTGGCCAGGATGATGACAGTATCAAGGACCTCGTAGAACTTGGACAGGTAGAAAATCCAGCCGAGGAAGGCCAGACCCTCATTCCAGAGACGACCAAGATCAGAGGGGTCCGGAACACCGCCTGCGGCCAGGCTGAACTCGGGGTTGCGGAAAGTCCACTGGTCGACGGTAGAGTCGTACGTAGCCGCATTACCGTAACCACGAGGTCCATTGATCTTGCACAGCGTATCGGCGACAGCTGCGACGTAGTTGGGATCATCCCGACTGGGCCACGAGCTGCGGAACGCACGGATCATGCCCGCAAAAGTCCATGCCGAGTAAATGGCCAGGAAAACGTTGTGGAGGATGACGAACAGCTTGAAGAGACGCGTCTGACTGAATCCATAAGGCTTGTAACCCCGGCTCTTGTTGATGCGATTGACGAGGACCACGGTCACAGCGTACACACTCGCAATTGTGATCGGAACGCGCACGTCCAACAGCTGGTTGTAGAGCGTCGGGGGGATGTTGAAGGGCTGGTTCCATGTCGGCTCGGAGATCACAGGGGCGGGGACAGTGGCCGGGAGCTCGCTGGGAGGGAATTTCAAGAGGGACGAAGGAGGCAGGCCGATGCGAATGACGGCCGGGTTCGCCTCGCCGTGGACGGTGAAGTCGTACATGGTCGGGACGCGATTTCGTGCGACTTTGGGACGACCCGACGATAAGGGAAAAGATACGGATGGGAGATTGAAAGGAGAATCAGGAGGGAAAGAAGATGAGAATTGGCCGGCGACTCTTTAAGAAGAAATGGTGGGACACTTCAATTAGCCCGAGCCGAGAGTAGAAAATCACCAGGAAAATTTCCAGGCCAAGCAAGTCCACTCGGACAACTGGATACTGGAGGGGAGCGCGCGCGCAAATCCCGCTGTGAACTGGGGATAAGCAGCAATTGTAAGGCGCGACCAAAAACCTTACGCGAGCGTGGAGGAGGGGAGAGGGAGGAGGAGGATAGGCAACGGTTGGTCGAACGAACGGTGATCGCTGGTGACAAGGAGTTAAAGCAAGGCCGATGTGATTAATTCATAATTGAGGTCAGTCAATCTCCGGATTGCAGTTGGACCGTGGATCAATGAGAGTCACGATGATCGCGGCGAGTGGAGCCGCGCAGCGTTTTGTTGGGAATTCGGCCAACCTTCAAGCCTCGGCCCAACAAAGTGGTTACTGGAGAGCTCTGGCATGCTTGTGAAAGATACTGATAAAGATGATGATGATGATGGATTGGCATTGGAATTGCATGGGGGTTTGGGGGATCTTCCCCCTTGAAGGAAGTCATCCTCCATCCTATACAAGCTGACTGCATTTGTTGGAGATGATATAAGATCTTGTTTCTCCCACTCACATGATGACTGGCCCGGATTTACTGAATATTTCTCCGCCTCGACAAACAAACCGAACAAGTCACCCTCCGCAATTGATCTCAACCGCATGAAAACAAAGTAGTACAACATCTCCCATTCAGCTACAGATTGTCCCCATTGCCCCAATATACCCCCTTTTCTTATCAAAGACCTAGTACAACACACCCAGATAGGAATTGAGTTGCCTTAAAACGGCATGACATCAACCAGCGGAAGTGACAGCCATTCCACGCCAATTAAGGATTTGGTTTTGGTTTTCTCCAACAATTCGATTTCCGGCCTTCCAGAAGCAGTACAGTGGATCCCGTGACTGCACCATGACTCGTGGTGCTGACTCAGCGTCTGACATCACCCAACCATCATTGACTCGACCAATCCGGCCCTCATTGGCTAGAAGGACAAGTAGATACTGGCAAGAACTGTTCGTACCTAGTAGAAACGCAATTGCCTGGCAGGAATTGCCCTAGTAGGTACTGCTCCAGGTTTACACGAGAAGCTGCCCAGTTAGACCTTTGTCAGTAGATGAGGATTCTGAGCCGTCAGGCTCAGAACGCACATCACTCGTATTTCTCTGTGATGATCATCAAGGTCATGCCGTCAAGTCTGGAGTTCACAATCAGGGAGATGTATCGACTCCTTGGCGTATGTTCGAGCATTGGCAGCTTCTGTGGTCGTAGCTTACTGTATTCTAGAATTAGATGGCACACAGCAGTTCATTAGCGGAGAGTACATGCTCAACGGAGCGACGTCGTATTTTTCGGGTAGCATTACTAGCAAGTTTCTGGTCTATCTCCCATGTATTATTACTCATCACCCTCGAATATAGGATACATAAGCCTAGTACTACTGGATAATGACACCAGCGTGGTATGTCGGCGACTAATGTCGGAATCAAAGAAGTGCGATGTCCAATCCGATATTTTGATTCGACTACTCCCTTATGAACGCCTCCACGCGCAATACCCCGTCCGTTAATCCATAGTCCATCAAAGTACCAGTTTCCGTATTCCATATACCAAGATGCATGTATGTACAAAAGCGAGAGTGGGTATGTATGCATGCACGCACGTACGTATCTTCACATGACAAGACAAGAAAATAGACAAAGCATGGAAAGCGAATGGGTAGCACCTTGGTATATCCATCTTCCAAAACTGAATTGAAGATCGCTTGCTAATTGGAAACGAGGGGAAAGGTATCAAAAGAAAAAGTTTTATTGAGTGAAAAGGCAGTTTCAACGACGCATAGCCGGCCTTCGCTCGTCATCTTCAAATGACGATACAGACGAAACATCATCCATATCCCTAGCATGGGTATACGATCGACGCGATATCTCAGATACTGCGTCGTCGAGTGGATGATCAAAGGGCGATATTGGACGGTCAAGTCTTGCTTCGGGGGAGGGCCAGGCAGCTGGCATGGTGGGCTGGGGACTTCTCTCGGGGTTGTTGTTGTCTCTGTTGGGGACTTCTGCTGCTGCTGCAACTCCTGCTCCTGCTGCGGCAGCCGCAGCGGCGGTAGCAGCGGTATGAAAGTTGTGGTTATTCGTACTTGGTGGGCTAAAGTCGCGGGGGTGATTGTTGGTAGGGTTGATATGCTCGGGTTCTTGCGGGACAGGACGACCTGGGATGGGACCTGTGAAGGGGATGTCGTGGGAGTTTGTGGGCGCAAATTCCCATGTTGCGCCGTTTGCTGCTTGCTGTGGTCGTTGTTGTTGTGGAGGTGATCGTACTTGGCGAGGTACTGCGCCCATGCTGACTGGGGGTTGATTGTTGTTGGTCTGTGGTAAGGTTAAGCGGTTGCGTTTTTGACGCCTGCGTCTTAGGATGAAGAACAATATGGCTGCGATGATAGCTGCGCCAACGACTGCAACGGGAACCGCGATAGCGATGGTTTGGTTGTTGCTGCTAGAACTGCCGGAGCTGCTGGTACTTTTGACAGCGGTAGAGGTGGAGGTACTCGAGGAGGTTAAGGATGAATGGGTTGCAGTTGCGGTGGTAGTGGTGGGTTGTGAGCTTGACTCACTAGTGGTGATCGGAGTCCATTGCTGGGTGGTGGTCCTGGTGGTTTCTCCAGGATAATACTCTGCTGTGGTAGTGCGCTCCGATCCCCATGGTTCCTGCGTGGTGAATTCTGACTCCCCGCCAGGGTTGTAGTTAGAGCCTCCGCCTATGCCGGCCATTTTGCCAATGCTCAAATTTTGTTCTCGACTGGTTTTATCCCGCCTACGTGGTGGTGCAGAACAATGGGGGCTTTATATGTGCGTCGTGCCGGGATACAAAGGAAGGTGGGCAGTGGTGATGAATCTTAAGGAATGTAGTGACCCTACACAAGGGCGATCTTTTATTGAACAAGGTGGGATATGCCGGACTCGACTATAGCCATGATTAAACAATGGAACACCTGAGATTCATAATATGAGCATGGACCTACCACATGGGAGCCCTCAGGCTGATTCTGCAGGCTCTTGTTGAGAAAGCTTCCTATACTAATGTACGTCGGGAACACCCAGACATGCCAGTCACAGAGCAAACAAAGAGCCTATACGCGCCTATGCGTATGTGAGAAATGAGAATATACGGGGAGAAATAAAAGAAAAGCACGGATCCTGCCCGGGAAATAAAGATGGGGAAAGAAAACTACCCAACCTAACACAAAGGAAGGCTGACATGGCGCAGCAGCTCCTAGTGAAGGACTACTGAGGGTACCAAGTATAGATTCGGACGGAGGGTCGCTCACTGCCAATCAGCAGTGAAGTTGGCGGCACAGCACGAAGCGCTGCCCACCATCCAGGACTACACGCATGCATCTCGCATCCGTTAGTCAACAGAGACGAAACAACGGACAAGCCTCTCCTCCCCGAGGCTCAGTTAGTACGGAGTAACTAATTACGATAGGCGCCGACATTGACAGGTTGTTTAGTCTGGGAGGGGGGTTCCATTTAGCGCTGTCGTGGACCGGGACCGTTTATATATCTGCCCTATGAGATAACAAAGACAAGGCGCCTAGCAGGCATCCAAACAATCATTTTCTTTGGCTGTGAGGTGGGATGGTGCTCATAGGGCCGCGAATTTGGTAGCCCTGAGACGGAGTGACTTAGCTCCAATCATCGGCCCGTTAGTCTGATCGACGCATTAGTTCGTCGCGTTAAGAGACCGGAGACGTAGCAGCGTTGCGTGGCCCCGACATGGGGGCCAAAGGATCCTTGACCGTCGCAGACAGCCAGTTATACTGCGGCCTAAGAGACCCCGGGGATGATATGAGATCATTGCATACTCCGGATGACCAGCCGGTGTGTTTTTGGGACGAAAATAACTTAATTATGCAGTTGAAGTATGTAAGAAGAGTAAGCAGGAGCAATGCATGACTTGAAGCAGTTCGTAAATCCAGCGAATGAACATCACATGACCCCGGAAATTGGAGATGGCCGGATCCGGTTAGGCGCGGGGTGGAGTGCGGACCGCCCGCTAAAAAGGGACTAGTGTCACGGCACTGCCTCGCTCTTCTTATCTCTCCGGTCCCGGTCGGATCGGCGTCATTGCAACTACCTAAGTACTCCACTGAAACAACTTATTTGCTGGTTCAACGCCGCTGTTACAGATCATGAGTGGACTCAAGGGGGTAATGAAAGAGGGCTGGCACCCTAAGGGTAAAGATGGGAAGAAGGAAAGTTGGAGGAATGACTTCAAAGGCATAAATCAAGTGGTTAGTGTCTTCCCCCCCCCCGGCTCCAACTAGGCCACTAGCTGATGTGAAATTACCTCATTCTAGGCAGGATGGATGGGGAAGGGGAAGGACAACACCAACGATCGTGAAGAGCATGTTTCGGCACCTCTTTCTTCGCTCAAGGATCCAGCGTCTTTTGGACCACCGCCGAAGCATATCAAATATCATGGCGCTGCCGCTCTGCCGAATGAGACAACGCCGGATCGGAGAGGATTAGGTGCCCCGTTGCCACAAGAACAGATAGATCGTCAAAATGCTCAAATGCAAGAGCAGCAGCAACAAATGCAAATGCAGGAGGAGGCTGCTCAGAAACCAGCACCCCCACCGCTGCCATATCGTGCGAACCGGACGGGTCTGGACACCTCTAACCTTCCGCCGCCCCCAGTCAGACGCATGGGTTCTCCAGCAGATTCCATACCACCCCCCAGTTCCAGACCCAAACCCAATCTTCCGCCGCGACTTCCTTCTCGCAACAATTCGACTCCATCCCCGCACCCGCCTACCCCACCCCCAGCTTACTCTCCCCATTCTCAGACCCCTTCGCATGCCGAAGAATACATAAACCAAGGCGCTGCTTCCCGCCTTTCCCAAGCTGGTGTGTCAGTACCTGCACTTGGAATAGGAAATAACACCGGTCAATGGGGAAGAGATAGCAGTTCTCCCGGTACTGCATCCCCGGCAATTGCAGGCTCCGTCGGTCAAGCACCGGTGAACGAATTGCAATCCCGTTTCTCGCAATTGAGGACCACCTCCTCGAGCTCTCCTGCTCCTCCCCCGCCGCCAGCACGAACTTATACGAATGGCAGCACGGCCCAGTCTGTATCTAGCCCAGAGCCCAGAAGTGGCTCCTCTACAGTCAGTGAATTTCGGGAGCGACATAACGACAAGATCCAAGCGGGAAAACAGAAGCTGAATGGGCTGAACGAGAAGTACGGGATTTCCCAGCGAGTCAACAAGTTTTTTGACGATCAGAAGACTCCAAACACTCAAGCACCTCCGGTGCCACCTCATCCGAATGCAAATAGTTCGACATCCAGTGTTGACACGGATGCATTGAGTAAAAGAAAGGCCCCGCCGCCACCACCCCCTCCAAAGAAGGCGGGGATGCGTTCAACGCCTGTTGCCGGGTCAGCCCCGACGCCGCCGCCTCTTCCTTTGAACACCAAGCCCCGTTGAGCGGAGGTCTTGACTGATGTGTTAGCAGTCCGCTTGGCTCATTGATGGGTCATGTATCATTAGTATATATATCGTTGCATAGCCATGTCACACTGTATACCGTCTATTATTACTATAACTGTCCTGACATTATCGGGTGACAGAGTAAAACCCCGCCAACTACAGATTGCCAGGCTCTACGAAATGGAAATTATTTGCTTCCACCCAACATTCAGAGAAGGCCACCACCCCCTCTACCAGATCGATCGTCCAAGCACGCAGCTAAGCCATCCATCTCTTGAACAAGCACACCCCGATCATCACATTTCCGAGCGGTATCAAAGTCAATCAACGTGGCTTTCCCATCACAGATAAGAAAGTTAAACGGATTCGTATCCCCATGACAAACCCCCAGATCATGCAGCCGCCCCAATACCTCCCTGCAGCTCTCAACATCCTGAATCCCAGCATGCCGTGCATCTCTTATATTTTCAATCAGAAACCCAATCACGCGTCCACTCTCCGTTACATGACCAAGGAACACAGGCCCAATACCATGACCCGATATCCACTGATACGCCGTAGTTTCATTTTCAATGTACTGGACCTCCCAGGGAAACCGCGCGAACTTGGCGACGACAACATTATCATACTGTGGACATTTGACTTTATAAATCCCCGTTCGTAGTTTCCTCTCCACCGAAAGATCCAAGTAATCGATATGAGTCTCATGCCAGATGTTCTGGACCCCCGGAAACTGGGTTAATTTAATAGATGTAAAGCGCGGTTGATTATCCTTTGCGTCTTTGGAAACTAAGCCGTCGTTCCAATCTCCAGAGGGGAAATCGGGTAAAATAGAGACTAGAGACGGACCGAAACACATATCCTCTGTGCTGTAGATTCCGGGTTCAACGGTGATGTACTTGATGGATTGGCCGTTCACTAAGAGGCGGAAGAAGCTTTGGTCGGTCTCGTCGACTTCGGCTTGGAGGAGTTCGATTTGCTGCTGATTGACCATGCTGGAAATGATGAAATATGAGTATAAGGCTAAAATGTTGTTTCTTGGTGTGGCAGTGAAAGCAAAAGTGAACTATGGTTGGATTTATCTTAAGATGGGCGGTTGTAGGAAGGCTCCGATTCGATGTACGGTGCTCGGACCTTTGTGCGTGGTTACATCGACTTTGGATCATTAGTTGGACGCTTATATACATCGCTGCCTATTAGAACAGGGGGTTCTCTTCATTTTGTAATCCTGAATATTCATCTGTAAGGGGGATATCAGTTTCAGGTTGGGCGGGCTAAGATATTAAATCACGCATATGAACAATTCGCCCCGTATTTGAAGATGACGCTCAATAGAAGCTTGGTAATAACTTCATTTCTCCAGCTACTACAATTAAGACTTTTTTATACTTGTGTAACTAAATAAAAGAGGGCCTTACCAAAGCAGTCTAGACGTATGTATGATTCTGCTGTTCTGTATCTGAAGAGCTTTCGCACCGGGTGATCTGGAAATCTTTATAGATTAATCACATTGGCGGTTGTACCAGCTGTGGATACTACTACAGACATACTACTAAGCTAGCCTAGCTGTATGGCTTTAGCGCTGGGAATACTTCTGATTATACTGGTCAACTAGGTTACTACCGTGCTCGTCTATTATAATTAGGGTTTATGCGTGTACAAAACGCGATATTCTGACAATAATAAAAGTTGACGTCGGAGAGCTCTTGGCTGATGTCGCGCAGTGAGTCTAGTAGTCCGGAGGGTGCGCTTCTATTTTCGAGGACTCCGGGTTGAGTGTGCAGGCCTGCTAATCCATGGGCAGGCAGTTGAAGAAAGTCAGTTAAACTGGGCATCGGAGGAACAACACTATGTGGATTCCACTATGGTGAAATGGAATTCCCCTGCGAGTTATCATGGGGGATTGGGAAGCTGAAGATATCGAACATGTTCCATTCGGCAGTGGAGGTGGTCCTGATGGCGGTGGTACCTCTGCTATCCCGACAGTAGCCGCAGCAGCAGCAGCAGGAGGAGGAGGAGGGTGAGCGAGAGTACTCCCATAATTGGGGTAAACAAGCTCTCGCGCACAGTCCGAACGACCATTCCCTTCTGGTGTCATTCTTGAAATATTATATGCTCGTTGGCGACGCTTCTCCCGGGCATTGGGTTCAGACTCGACAGTAATCCTTGCTGGACGGGCGCTCCGTGATGGAAGACTTCATATGCACTGCCGATTCAGACGCTGGCAGTAGCGGATAAGTATTCTATGTTCATTTGTTGAGGACACAACGGTCTATAAGACGAAACTTGCCATAATGGGGTGGATGACCGATCTTGCTTAGTCTGACTAGCATAATCGACTAGGACTAGATGAATGTGACCGGGGATTCCAACTTAAAGCCGCTTGGCACAGCTAAACACCGTGAAGTGACTGTATTGCGGACGCTGGACTCGCTCATTGATACATTGCTATATTGTTCGTCAGATTGATCGTCCCATTTTCTGAAAGAGGCATATTTTGCAAAATCTTTGGTGGAAACTATTCCTAGTAAAACAGAGATAGATATGCCATTTGATGATGCTATCTCCAAGTCTGGCCCTCATCTCATCTCACATCAGCCCGAGGAGTGGGCACTGTCCACTCTCCCCCAATGCTAGTTACGTTGGTTGAGAGTAAAAGCATCATACTCTCTTTAATACTCTTATTA